GGATTATTGCTCTGAGCACCCTGTCCCCAGGGGGCCTGTGTAGAGAGGGTGTCAGGACGGGCTGGCACAGGGGACACACAGCCACACAAACACACAGGTCACAGCACGGGGGTAGGGGCGGGCGGGGAGGCTGGGCGCCGTATTGCACTTTGGGAGTGGGGCCAGGTAGGGACCCCCTCAAACAGGAGCCTGGGAAGAAGGCTGGAGGCCGTCATGTTCCCTCGCCTCTCTGGAGGGGGAGGTGAGACCCCAACCTGGGGCTGGGGAAGAAGACTGGGCAGCCACGTGTCCTGCCCTGGACGGGGCTGAGGGCTGGTCCCTGGCCTCTGGCAGGACATCGAGGGCAAACCAGACACGGAGAGGCTGCACAGGCAGTGGCCCTGGTCCCTGCCCCAGCAGAACCCATCCCCCACACTGGCTCAGCTGCCAAGCCCTCCTTTGCCCCCCTTGGGCTTGGGGGGCACAGGGAGGCCTTCGTCACCCTCACTGTCAGAGCTGCAGCCGCTGACATCCGTGATCTCCAACTCCGAGTCGCTGTCCTCCTTCCCTCCCAGCGTGGTCTCTGGACCCCCAGCCCCTGGCAGTGCCAGGCGGGGGGCTGCTGCCAGGCCCGAGGGGCGCTCGGGGCCCAGGCCCTCCCCTGTGGCAGCCAGTAGGGGTACAGTCGTGGGGCCTCCCCCTGCCCCTGCTGAGGGCAGATGGCCCAGGGAGCTGGCCAGAGGGTTGGGGTAGAAGTGGGGCGGGTAGAGAGAAGCAGGCAGCTTGGGGAAGGGGCCGGCGAGGTACGGGTTAAAGTTCCAGGGGTACTCCGGGAAGGCTCGGCTGTAAGGGCCCAGCAGACCAGGGGGCTTGGAATAGCCGGTGGCACCTAGGGACACGGGATGCATCGGGCTGGGCCATTGCTCCAGTCAGGGCTGCCTGCCTGGGCCTGAGCGAAGGGTGCCACCCACTTACTGTGGCCCCTGAACTGTCCCCCCCACACCTGTCCCCCCACCCTCATGAGGCTTCCCAGTCCTTCAGTGCCCCTGAGAGCTCTTCTCCCAGCCCAGCCCCCTTTCCAGTTTCCCTCCCCGCAAATCCCTCTCCAGCTTTTAAACACACACACACACACACACACACACACACACACACACAAGCACAAGCCTTGCCGCCCCGCCTCCTTCCTGCATCCTGTCTCCTCCCTCTCTTTGCCATCCTCTTCCCTAAAGCTGCAGCATCCCCCTCCTGGCACCCCTGGGACCCAGGCCCTTACCAGAGCCCAGGAATGAGAAAGGGCTGTCCAGACGCAGTTTGTCCGTCTCGGGGGTGAACAGGGGTGCCCGGGCCCCCGGCTCTCCCAGGCGTGGGGCAGAGAACAGGGTCTGCAGGGTCTGGAGGGGGAGGTGAGGGAGGCGGTGCTGCTCAGACTGGCCACCCCTCCCCAGGGGCTCCATGGCTTGGGGGACACCAAATGCTCCAGTTCTGAGACCCCCGCATCCCAACTCACCTCGGGGGTGAGGGGAGGAGCATCTGGCCCCGGGCCCCCCCCAAAGGGACCAGGGCTCAGCAAGAGCGGGGAGCCCGTGGTGGCTGCCGCCACGTCCAGCAGCGGGTAATTGACGAGCACAACTTTGCTGAAGTTGAACTTGTAGGTGAACCTCTTGCCTTTGGTCTTGTGGAGAATCCGCTTGTTGTAGTAGTAGCTGTGGGGAGAGGGAGAAGGGGTGGAGGGAGGGTCCCGGGCCCATGCTCTGCCAGCCACAGAGCACAGCTGGGGGAACTGAGGCTCACAGAAGCCCCCTGACCAAGGTCCCAGAGCAAGGTGGGGTGAGGCAGGGCCCGGGTCCTGCCTGTGTGGCTCAGCCCACAGTGTGGGCCCTTCCTCCTCGCCTGCCTTCCACTCGGGGACGTACTAGACCCGAGGAGAGCCCTGGCCGCGATCAGGGGTTCTGCCTGGGAGTCCAGGAGAAGCTCCCGGGAGGGCCCAGAGGGCCCACGAGGGGAGGAGGGACGAGGCCACAGCCCTCACCGCAGGGCCCGGCTCAGCTTGTCGTAGTTCATGTGGGGCTTGCACTTGCGGATGCCCCAGAGCCGGGCCACCTCGTCAGGGTCCTTGATGACGAATTCCCCGTAGTCCCCCTGCCAGGCGATGACACCCTGGTACTCCTCCTTCTGCAGCAGCTCCAGGATGAAGTGCCACAGCTGGATCTGCCTCGAGCCAGGCGACGACTCCGGCTTGTAGGCCCAATCCGGGAAGGCAAACCCTGGGGACAGCAGGAGTGGCCCTGCTTAGACCCCAGGAGGCACCCCGCCCTCCCCAGATGAGCAGCTGCCCAGCCTCAGGCATCTTTAGGGACTGAATTCCTTCTCTCCATGCCCCACTGGCTCTCTAGTCCCCAAACTCCCAATAATGTGAGAGAACTCAGCATTGGGTCCCTGTCTTGGCACTACTCTCCCAGGTTCAGCGTCCTGGGGTGGAGGGTAGGAGGCCCAGTTTCCTGTCCTTGACTATGGGGAGGGCCAGCCTGCAGGGAAGGCATTAACCCTCTCCCTCCGTTGCACACCACCTCCCCCTGGACTGCTCCCAAGGTCTCTGGTCTTCTGCTTTCTCAGCCCCACGCCTGCCGCCTCCCGCCTCCCTGTGCCGTCCCTGTTCCATTGCTCCCCAAAGCTCCCCTCGCGGCCCACCCCACCCTGGCACATCCAGGCTGGGCCTGCGCACACATCTCTATGTCTGTCATGTATTTATGCCTTTCTCGCCACTGGGTTCCCTCCCTGCATCTGTGCTGCCGGTCGGAGAGCTGTGTGTCTGCAGATACCCACACTGTGCCCCTGTCACGCAGACGTCCACTCCCCCTCGAGGGCACCAGCTACACCGTGGGACACAGATGCACCTGCCTGGCACACTCCTGCTGGGCACAGCACACCAGCACAATGTGCCACACCAGACACCCAACACTGCACACTCACCCCAACACACAATTACACATCTCCTCGGGCCCCTCAGAACTGCAACACAACCACGGCGACAAACACAGGACCCCAACGATCCAAACACGACAGAGGGTGGGGGAGACAGTGAGGCAGCATCAAGACAGACGTGTCAACCTAACAGGCACACACAGGGTGACACCATGATAACAGCCCCCCCCCAGGCACCCACACTCTCTAACACCCACGGCTCACTCAGCTTTCCACACTCCAATGGCATCCTGCACCCCGTTGTCCAAATATGCCCAGACGCTGGGGGGAAATGGAATGTGCTTGCTCACCCCTCAACCTCACCATCCAGGAAGCCCCAGATCCTATACTCATTCCTGGCCCACATCCTCTATCCACTTTCCCTTCCTCAGAGACCCCAGGCCCTGGCATTAAAACAAGGCAGGGAAAAACACACAAAAGACAGAGGCAGAATTGGCCTATAAAGAGCTGAGAGCCGTGCAAGAAAGGGAATGGGGTTCGCGAGGGCGAGGGAGGTGACACCGAGCTGGGAGACCATCCTGTGTCCACTGCTGTGTGGTCCCCGGGCCGTCCTTCCCTCTCTGGCTCATTAGGATTTCAGGGGCAGAAGGCGAAGAGGAGCAAGGCTGGTCCGGGCTGCCTGGTGTGTACACGGGGCACCAAGGCCCTCCGTGAGGCCGGGACCGAAAGCCCAGGCAGTTTCCTCCCGAAGGGAGAGTTTTCTCTCAACTCCATGTGGGGTTTTTCCCACCTCAGACCAAGGGCTCCATCAACACAGGGGTCTGGCCCATTCCACACCCAGAACACATCCTAGTGGGGACGCGACTATCACAGACACACACAACCCAAAGGTGACAACGCAACTGGCCACACACAACCCAACCCAGAAACACACCTGTCCTCAAATGCACGTCCTCAAATGTGTGATGCTTGCTGACACACGGGCGCGTGTACACACACACACACACACACCCAGAGAGAGGACCAAGCACTTCAGCACAGGACACACACTGACAGCCTCCAACACTCAGTCACACTCAGTGGCACAGATGCAAGAACACACACACACACAGCACCAGCGCTGAGGCGAGGTCCGGGGCCGCCCACCCTCAGCACCAGGACCCCCATTAGGAATGCCACAGGCCATGCCACCGGCCGGTAAGGACCAGGCGAAGGGGCTTCACTCACTGAGGCAGGTGCACTCGGCAAGCTGGCAGACACCCACCCCAGTACTAAAATGTAGACACACTAGACGTGCCACAGAAATGCGACACGCCCCGCCCAGAGCCACCCAGGCAGCCTCAGCTGTGCAGCACAAGGAGGCACACCAGCTCACACACACACACACACACACACAATCCCAGTGACCCTTCTTCCAGAAACACTCAAGTGTGACACTCCACAGCCCCAAATAACCAGGCACAGGTCTCGGTCTGCACAAACACACATACACACACACACACACACACGCGCACTGCTCATCTGTGGGGCGTGTGACTTGGACTCAAATCACACCCAAGCCGGTCTTACTGTCCACGTCCCCATCCTGAGCAGCCTTCTGAGCAGCCGTCCTCCCAGGGCTCCGGCGGCTGGGCCGGGTCTCCAAACCCCTGTCTGGATGATCCTGTCTGTCCCTTGTCCACAGCCCCTGGCCTATGGGCCTCTGGTCCCCCCCCCTCCCCCTCCCGCTCCATCAGTGCCTGTGCAAGAAAGGGACCCAGCGCTGAGACCCAGGGCCGCCCACCCTCA